TCTTTGCTGAAAGCCCCCACTAGGTCTCAGTATTCCACGGGAATGAGCGGGACCCCTGGCATTTGGTCCATGGTGGCTTTCAGTGGCTCAATCAATTCCCCTTCTACCTTGGCGTCAGTTATTCTCTTTATCTGACTGGCCACTGAAAGTGGGAGGGGCCTCATTGCTAGCCTCAAGGTTCTCACCTCATTCTCCCACCAAATGGTGGGACGCCATTTGTCAAGCTATGCTAATCCCAGAATTAGTCTTGGTCATTTTTGGAATTACTACAAAGAGGATGATCTCCCAATGTTGATCCATCTCCAAACAGAACGGCTCAGTTAAATGAGTCGCTGGGGAACCTCCCATCAAAGACCCATCTGCCTGCTCGAATTTCATGGTTTTGCATAACAGCTTGGCACGGATTCTCATTTCAGTACAGCTGGGAAGCTGATCAGGCACCTTGTGCAGCCTGAGTCTATTAGGACATTTAAGTCCCCCTGTGTCCCAATCTTTGGCATGATACGTTTGGTGGCAATAATGAAAGGTGGGAATGGGCTGACTTACCATTGGGTCGTTACTGTTGTTGTCATAAGGCGCTGGGAGCTGTAGGCGCTCAACTGGAGCTATTTCTCCTCCCTGGGTGGGAGGTGAGAGCTTGATGGCTTGATCTTGGCGTGCCCAGTTCAACCTCTCCCGTCCTTTCTGCGGTATTTTTTTCCGGGTTGGCAATAGTGGCAGATACACTTCTACCCTGAGAGGCTGGAGCTAGGCAATCAGCAGCCTGGTGACCCTGCTGGCCACACTGTAGCACTTGATGGGAACTCCAGTGGATATCCAGAGTGTGCTGGTTGCAAGAGCGGTCGATGGTTGTTGCCCAAATAGTCATTTTTCCTGGCTTCAGTTCAGTGGTGCTGGGTTTTCTGCAGTGGGTCAACTCGATATCCAGGGTCATGGCCACGTGATACCATTCACAGAGTTGATCAGGAAACCCTGGTAGGTGCATGCTTGGAACAAATCCTGGTCCAGTCCCTCTTTGAAGTGGTGAACCAGCAATCGTTCTGGCCACTGTCTGATTCTACCTGCAATTTTCTGGAATTCCTGGATGTATTCTTTAGCTGGGTGACCTCTCTATCTCAGGCTATGGATTTCTATTTCAGCTTGTAGGGCCTGGGGTTCATCTTCAAATCTGGCTCTCAACTGGCCACTGAACAGGTTTATGTCCCACCATTTCAACGCTTACTCATTGTGTAGGCTAGTCACCCACTAAGCTGCTTCCCCCTCTATGTTTGCTGCTATTACTTTACCATCATGGAATCATCAGGTATCTGGTTCAGGAAAAAAGGCAACTTCTCTGGATCTCCATTAAATGTGGGTTTGATGGGAGGTGGGTCCACAGGCTGCTGCCCCTAGTATGCAGGACACAAGGCAGATCATTTATACTGGGGCTGAGCCGGTTGAACTTCTCCCTCAATCTTTTGACAGAATGGCTATGGATTGCTGTCAGTACTTCCATTCTCTAGAGCAGAGGTTCTTAACCTTTTTGAACGAATCGCCCCCTTGAGCCAATGCGGAAGTTGTCATCGCCCCTCTCCCCCAACATAACCTCTCAAATACAACATAGGAAATAATTCTTCAATTTATGCAAACACTTTGTTTTCTTTAAAATTGTCATCAGGATATATCGATGCAAGTAATTTATTTCCAGTCTTTTTCCCATGTCTCAACTGTGTGAAAAATTTTGGTGCCACCCGTCACTTTATTCCCAAACTTTGTGATACATGTATTTCATTATTATCATATTTATTCAAGATGCTTAAATGTAATGACCACTGAAAACAAAATTCAATTGCAAGAAAGTGAAATGCCTGAAAAGAAAAACAGTAACATTTAATGATTGAATTACAAGTGAAATTTAAGATGCAAAAAGAAATATAAAAAGGGCATAAGAACAAACCGCAATGCAGGAACTAAGAATTTCAAGACGAAAACTCTGAAACTAAATTAAGATTTGAGGAAAGTATATATAGTCATGCACATTCTAAAAAGGATTAAAAAAACACAAAGAAAATATAATATCGAACTGGAGTGCACGCTAAAAAAGTACAATACAAAGAGATACACAAAATGTTTTACAGAGCACAACAAAAATTCAAAAATGAAGCTGAAAACTCAAACTGGAATGTGAAATCCAAAGCGCTTCCCACTCCATCACTGCCCATTCTGGCCAATGGCATGCCACTGTATGGGTAGAGGCTGCTGCGCAATGTGCATGAAGATAAGTGATGCATATTTACATATGTACGGCGTTCTGTACTGAAGCTAGCTGGAGGAACATTTGAAAACACAATTCAATCCACTAATAGCGAGCAATCTGATTTTTTTGTACGACAGATATACAGCGATTCACTGTATGAAAAAGTCTCAAAAGTGTCCTCAAACCTCCTTGCTCCATCACCCCCATATTGCCCCCTTTTCATTCCTTCGCCCCCGCATCGCCCGTTTTCGTTCCATCGCCCCCTGAAAAATGAAATCGCCCCTTGGGGAGAGATATTGCCCAGGTTAAGAACCACTGCTCTAGAGCATACGTGTCAAACTCGCAATATCACGCAACGTATCGGGACTATTTTGCCATTGCCGGCAATGGAATGGGTGCGGCTTCCATGTGACGCGGCCGGCCTCTGGGCCGGCAGTTTGACACCCCTGCTCTAGAGTCTAGACTCATCCCATCCTGCTGGTCAATTTGCCTTCCTCAACACAGGTGACAGAAGGCTGTGGGATGAAATCAGTGGGAGTTCAGCTGCAGCGGCTTTAGGAGTACTTCTGCACTGGGGGGGGCTCCCTCTGCCCAACCGAGATCCCCAAGGGTCAGAGTCCCCTTCTGCTGCCCCAATCTCTCAGGCTGGGTTACACGGGTCTTCGGCCAAGCCCCAGCTACCAGTGCTCCACTCTCCGCCTGGACAGTAGCCTGCACTCTGGCAACAGGAGCCACGCTGTGGTTAGTGGTCTGGTCTGCTCCTCTTTCTTCTCCATTCCGGATTCTTCTCTGAGTCTTTGCTGTCCTCCCAAAGACAGTGGGCAGGTGACTGGGCCTCAGGACCACGAAGTAAAAAGGGTTTTTAATAGATTTGATTTAATGCCAAGGTTCCGACGAATGAGACCAAATAAATCAGAACTCGGAGGCAGGAAAGTTCCTCAAAAAACATGTTTATTGGATGCATAGCATCGACACAGTCAAAAGTGAAACCATATCTAAACTTTCCTCCTAGAATCAAAGTAATACAATGTAACAATTACCACCCCTCTACTAATACTATCCAATAGAATGACTTGGCGGGCTTTCTGACTAAACCAGTGGTTCTCAACCTGTGGGTCGGGACCCCATTTGGGGTCGAACGACCATTTCACGGGGGTCGCCAAACAAGGCTGTCTGCCATTTTTCCCCCTTTTCTTTGGCCACGCCCCTGGCACCCAGTGATGTATAAGTGGTTGGGGGTCACCACAACATGGGGAACTGTATTATGGGGTCGCGGCATTAGAAAGGTTGAGAACCACTGGACTAAACGATCCTCCTCTTCCACTATGGTGTGGGAATAACCTCGGTTCTCACAAGATCTGTTCATGTTTAGACTACCAAAAATACCTTCCCCCCCTCTTTTTCTTGTGGCAACCTAGAATGACAAAAATGGCTGTAGCCAGATTCATTGTAGAGCTGACACCAAGTTCATATTGTTCCAAAGAAAATAACAGATATATATGTCTTTGAAATAATAATGAAATAATTTTTCCTCTTAAGTATTTAAAGCAATTCAGACATAAAAGAAGCTATATTGTCAATGTAGATAAAAATGTCCTTCCCCCCCCTAAACACTTACCTAATTCCTAAAAATTAAAAATCATTTTTCAACCCAGAGTTCTGGGATATTGGCAAGAATTTTAAAGGCTGCAGAAGTTACCACTGATTAAAACAAAACTTGTGTCCAATTGCAATAAATTTTCCTTCTCTTTGCTTTGCTTTCAAAATTTCTATTACATTGGATTCAAAACATAGTACCCAAGATGGCGAGGGCCTTGTAGAAGAAATGCAGCAATTAGCAAAACATGAATTAACCCAGCAAATTGGAAGAAAGCACTCGAAAGAAACTTAAATCACTCCATTTTGCCTCTCTTTGGTATAAAAGGAAAGGAAGAGAAAATGCTGTCAAGTTTTCAAGATTCTGTTATGATGGTCTACGTTAACAAAGTAGACTTCCAGTATTTCTTAGGATCTCTGTTTTCTGACCTGTCTACCTTGAAGGGGTAGAACATACTATCAAAGAAAACAAGAGGCAGCAGATATTCAAAATCCAATTAGAAATGTACAAAAAAGAAAAAAGAAAAAGCAAGGTTGTTGCATATTTAAGTAACAAAATGGATTAGTACATAATTGGAGAAAATATTCAGTTGAGCTTCTGACACATAACATGCAACAGACTAGATTTATTGCTCGCCAAGATGGCATTTGAGATTCTTAAAAATGGAACTAAAATGGAAAATATGTAAATTTTGATACCAAGTCTCTATTCACCATAATCTGACTACCAGACTTGGGGGCATGGCAGGGCATATGTTGAAAGGGACAAGGACCTATTATCTTTATGCTTTCTACTTTATCTTTCAGAGACAACTAGCTTACTACATTTGAAAGAGAATGCTTTGTATAAAAAACAGATAGCAAATACAAATACATGTCAGAAAATGTGACTGACTTTGTTCCCATGTTACCACAGACTTCATAACAAACCCAGTTTTAGCCTTATGTACTGTAGTCTATTTCCTTGTTTTGTTTTAACTACAGGGAATTTTTCTGTTGTTGTTTAAATATTTCTTAATAGTAAAACAAATAGTATTTGTATTTTAAGAGCTTTGTATACGTAAAAGTGTGTGGGAAGTACAATTCATGAAACTGGATTAGCATTTGCAAACATGTTTTTCAAATGAAAATTTTTAACTAAAACATTTTTCTTGAGATAAGTGCTTACCTTGTATTTTCCTTTGATAATGCCTTCAAACAATCTTTCCTTTGTACCATAAAAAGGTAAACAACCACTAAGCAGAATAAAAAGAATCACTCCACAGCCCCACACATCTACAGGCTTTCCATAAGGCTCTCTTTTTACTACTTCTGGAGCCATAAAATGAGGAGTTCCTACACGTCCTAAAATAAAATTAAAAATGTATTGTTTTTAAAGATGGCAGAGAAATACAAATCAAAATTTTACACTGCTTTTATTTTATCATATTTTATTGATTTAGTTATGTGATTTATCTGCAACCTCTGTTCTAGCAGGCCTCTAGATGGTGTACAGTTACTAACAATTATATAGCAACACAAGATCCAATAGCAGTATGCTAATGGTTGCACACTAATCAATCATAGCAATCAATCAATCAATCGATCAATCAACCAACCAACCAATCAATCAATCACCAAAGCCAGAGCAGCCAGCTTCTGGAAGGCTCTGAGAACCGAACCATCTTCATTTGGGGGGGGGGGGGCAATCCAAAATGTGATGTGTTAATACAGTTACAAGTGAGACATCAGCGCCCAAATATTCTTTCTTAATTCATCTCTTATAGCAGGCATGATAAACTGCTGGCCCGCGGGCCGGATGCATCATGCCAAAACCGCGCCCACCCCATTGCTGGCAATCGGGAAAAAGTCCCGATACGTCGCGTGACATCATGCCTGTCTTATAGTAATAGTGACAGGAGACCACACCCACCTGCCATTTCAGAGTCCCACATCTGGACTACCAAGGCAATTTTTAAGGGGGAGAGGTCCTAATCTTTCCTTCTAGATGATGCAATTTCCTCGCAAAAATTCTCCTGCACTGATATGGAAACAATCCCTCACTAATTTATATGCATATATATAAAATAGAAAGACAGATTGCACGTGAAGAAGAAAAAAGCATATTGTGACCATATGCCTTTTGTAGCTTGTGACTAAGTTATGAAATCCTGGCATGCAAGCCTGGAATCAATTCAGTGTAGAGGTAAAAACGTCAGGCACTAACATTCTTTATCCATTGAAACTTTAGGACCATTTTCAAAAGTAGCTCTATTCACAGCAATGCAAATGGAGAATTACTACACTTAGGAAAATCATCACTAGATCATAGAAATCACAGGTGTGCAAAATATTTTTAATTGAAAAAACTTTCTGAGTTGAACACCCTGTTTCAAGCTTGAAATGACTGTTTGACCTAACCAGAACAGTCCTATTTCCAGCTTAGAAGTTCTTCAGAAAAGTTCTGCTGGAGTTGAGAGAGCCCATTTGAAACTTGAAATCACCATTTCCAGTTCAAAATAGCTATTTCTACTTTGAAACTTTCTGCACACATTTAATAGTTACACGCACACATATATGCATGCACACGTTAAATTCTTCAAAAGCATAATTCCTGAGGTAAGAGGAGCTAATTTGTCTGTGAAACACTGGTTTTGTTTATTCTCAAACAAAATGTGTTTTGCTTAATCAGGCTAGAATAGACAGTGCTAGGTTGCAACAAAGACTTAAATTAAAGAAACTCACATTTAAATAAAATATGAAACGTGTAATAAATTAATATATTATTTTATTTTCTATTTATTTTTCATTCTTTAGCATGGTTTACTTTGCAAATATTTAATGACGTTTTCTAGTTACACAATTAGACTGTTCTCCGTTTTCTTTTTTATAAACAAGCTGTAAACATTTAGTAAAAATGCTTACTAAACATGATATGAAATAGCCATTACTTACCTCCAGCAACAAGTCCTGATTCTCCTAATTGAATAGCAACCCCAAAACCACCAAGTTTTACTGGTGCTGAATTTTCCTTTGAAGCAAGTAGTACACAGTGTGGCTGAAATGACAAAAATCACTCTGATGTTTAATTAAAAACCATTTATTATGGCACCAGAATATATATGTACAATAATCATTGGCCGGGTGTATCATGCATAGTTAAAATGGGCTCTTCAAGTCAGATGGCACTCAATATGTTAGTGAGGAATCTAAAAAACTTTTGGAGTACCAATGGTATTTAGAATGTGGCTCGATTAAAACCTTTGCAACAACCAGTTTCTTATTAGCATGGAGGAAAATAAATTCCAAAGCTGCAAAGAAGTAGGAATTACAGTGGTAACATGAAATATGACAAAGTTGTGAACACTGAAACAGGCAGTAAAAGATGACACAAAATGATATTTTAGGTATCAGTAAATTGAGATGGACTGGGATTGGACACTTTTAGTCAGAAGATCATACTATTTATTATTCAGGATATGAAAACAAATTACAATGGTGTTGTTATAAGTAGGAAAGGTATAGAAAGAATAGTATTTGCTACAATGCAGTCAATGATTCCATAATACCACTTAGCCTTCATGTATAATCCTTTAATACAACAATCATCCAAGTTTATGTTCCAATCACTGATGAGGAAAGGAGGCGGCTGAGGAATTTTATGATCGAGTCCAATTTGAATCCAACAGAACATGCAAGCAAGATGCTTATGGTTGGAAGTGGAATGCAAAAATAGGAAATATTGAGGAAAATATAGTTCGGTTGCATGGCTTAGGAAACTGAACTGAAACAGGAGAACAACTTATTCATTTCTGCTATTCCAATGTTTTCTTCATAACTAACATTATCTTCAAAAAACAAACAAACCCCAAAACAATGTTGCAAGTCACCAGATGAAGTACACAGAAATCAAACTGGCCATATGATTATTAAAAGGTGAAGAAGCTCAGTTATAGGATTAAATACATGATAAAGTGCTGTTTCTGGAATAGATCATGAACTGCTCATGTGCACATTCCAAGTGAAGTTAATGAAGTAGAAAGTAACCAACTTCCCCAGTATGAAAAAATACTGGAAACAGTTGGAAACAATTACAGAAAACAAGGAAAGTCTTTCAAAAGATCTCCAAGCTCAGGAGGAGGTTCCATCCTCAATAGAAGCAGGGGTGTCAAAAAAGTCGCAATACATCGCGACATGTCACATGACATTGCAAGTTTGACACCCGTGCTAAAGGATGCCAATGAATAAATAATAACTGATTCAAAGAGAAAAAAAAGATGGAAGGAATAAACCAAAATTCTGTGTAGTAGAGATGTCACTTTTCAAGATACCCCCATAAAAAGGGAATGATTACATTAGACTGAAGAAAATTTGTTTATTTCTCAAGAATATCTTGTTCTGGCATGAACACATTGGAAATTATTGAAAACTTGGACTGAACATTATTAACAACAAAACTTGCCCTCTTTTCTTCTGCATACAGTATCATTTGCTATAATTTCTTTGAACACTGTATATAGTGGCATTTACAATGATGGTTACTGGCTTCAAAATGGTATGACTGCGTGATCAAAACCCCACCCTCTTTTAATATGTGTCATCCCTTTGAAGTCAGTGACTGATGCTCCTGTTTTTATTATTTATTTTTGTAATAATCCAATTTTTCCTGTAATTATATTACATAGTATTTATCTATATTCTGCATGCTTTTACATTTAAGTTGTAAATTATTTACCTCAATTTCTATACAGTACTTGTTTCGTAATTATAACTGCTATACACAGTTACAAAATATATAGTTTTATATAGGTTATTCAACTATATTATACCCAAGCATTATTTATAAAGTGATACAGATACCGTATTTTCCGGTGTATAAGACTGGGCGTATAAGACGACCCCCAACTTTTGGGAAGATTTTCATGGTTTAGAAAGTCGTCTTATACGCCAGAAAATACGGGTACTTTAACTTTCTAATAAAAGTAATGTAAGTCCTAAACACATTAGCATTTCATTATATTTCATCGCTTGTTCCTGATCTGCTGAAGACAAATGTAGCTGGTAACATCCCATAATAAGCATGGGGGTGCACTTGTGAAGCTTTGCAGTACATGAGGAACTGCCTCACCCCAATGGGACTAGCTGGCCCCTCTCATTCCAGTGGAAGCAGCCTAATTTGAATCCCACTGGCCAAAGAATTTCTGCTGCTGGGCTCCAGGAGAAGATTTCTGCTGTGCCCCCCCCAGAATATTCTACCATCAGAGGTGAGATCCCCCCCCCCGACACACAAGAACACAATCCTGGCCTTCTGGCAGAGCCAGAAGTTCCAGTTGACAGTGAAGCCAAAGGTGGGCTGGGGTCCCTGGTGCTGGATGCCCTGCAGTGGGGATGGCCCGATGGGATTGTCGGAGGCCAAGACTGCCATTTTGTAGAGGCCACTGAACACCCCCGTGTTACCGACACTGTTGATCTCCATGGTGGAGTTGAGGTCATTCTTCCAGTGCTGATCAGGGAGGACTAAAGGAGAGTGGGAGGGGAGAGGAAAGCGGGTCGTAGCGCTAGCTAAGCCCAGCTGTCCAATAGGTAGAGACTTTGGATCCATTTTCTCTGTGAGATCTGAAAACACCCTCTACTCCCACTTGCCCAACCCCCGAGGCTGCCCATGCCGGGTGGGGCTGGCAAAGGTGGTGCATCCTAAAGTCTGTCGGTGGAGGCGCCTGCCAGACCGCTTCCGGGACGACACCCCGTGGGCGGATTGCTCTGTCATCTGCGCAGCGAGAGCACCAGCCACGGCGGCAGGTTGCCAAAGAAGCGGCCGAGCACGGAGGAGGAAACGCTGAGCGTCCGTCCGTCGGGGTCCCAGGGCTTCTGGCGCTCAGTGCGACGGCACCGGGTGCGGTCAACCCTGAGAAGCGGCACCCTCTGCGCAGCCCACCAGCTCCCAACAGCTGCTCCTGCCGCCCACCCGAGCAGAGGCTGGTGGCAGGGGGGTTTCCCCAGGGGAGGAAAAGCCCCGCTGACACCGCCTTCCTCCACCGCCCTAGACTGGGAGGGGCAGGATCCCCGCCCGAGGGGCGGACGCTTCTGTGAAATCGCTGGCCTTCTGCAAGCGCTGAGCAGCACTTCAGCAGCAAGGGGGGCGGGGGCACTTCTTCTCAGGAAGCCCCAGCCGCTGACCCAACACGGGCATTCTTACTCAGCTGGCTCTCTGCCAGCGCTCCTCTCCCACCATTGGTCTGCCAACGCTCCAACCTCGCCCCTTCCTCCCGCCTGTTTCTTGGAGGGACACTTTTCTAGGGCTATTTCGCTGCGTGGGACACTTAAACTCTCATCCGGACAGCCAACCCCCACGCCAAGGGGTGAGGAGCATGGGGCACAGGATACGGGGGAGCTTGCTTTCATGTACCATATTTTCCGGCGTATAAGACGACTGGGCATACAAGACGACCCCCAACTTTTGAGATTTTCATGGTTTAGAAAGTCTTCTTATACGCTGGAAAATACGGTAATAGTAAACATATAAAAAAATAGAATTACTGACTGCATCAGATCTGGATTCAATAATAGAACACACAAAGAAACAAACAGACCATCTATACAAAAACACATTTCTACCTCTCAGACTAAGGGCTGTGGAAAATGTTTTGAATTCAAACAGAGCTCAAAATCGGCATTTCAAATTCAAAACACTTCACATTCTAAATGTGAAGTGGCTACAGGAATTTCAAGGTTAAAAAAGAAAAAGAAAAAATGTAGTGTATATAACTATATTACACTAAAATATATTCTATTATTATTTTATGTGTGTGCACTTCTGAACTAAAATTTACCATATGAAATGGTTCAATTGTTTTACTGATAATGTCTTGGATTCTGACTATGCAAAATTCCAAATTAATAGGTGACCTTGACTGAGTAAAACAGAGAAACTAAACAACAATAATACAAATGCCAACATGGAAAGTATTTATCTGTAATAATATAACTTACCTTCACATCCCTGTGAATTATATTATTATCATGACAATAGCGCAGTGCTTCCAATATCTGTCTCATGTAATGACTGCAAAACCAAACATGCAAATAAGTTATAAGCACTGTAAAGAAAAAATAGGCACAAAATTCAGGTTGTTTGGGCACTATATTTTAGAAATTCAAAATCACCAGGGTCTTTATTTACATTATACGTTATTTGAAGCCTAAGGGTATAACATTTCTCTCCAGAAACAAGTCCTGTAAGAAAAAAATGCTTCTGAATAAGTATGCATGATGTTATTTATTGGTCAGACTATATTCAGAGTTCTCGGAGTAAGATATAATCTAAACAATTCAATTCAAACAATTCAAAATTCAACAGAACAATTTAATAAAAACATAAACATCCTTTTATAACAAAATATTAAAGCTGAAATTAACATACATTTCAATCATAGTAAGATAGTTTAAAACAAGACATACACAAGCCAAAATAACAACATAAAGCTCTGGGGCAGGGGCCCCCAACCCCTGGTCCATGGACCAGTACCAGGCCGCGGCATGCCAGCAACCGGTCCATACAAAGAAGAAAAGCCCCATCCACAGGATGCAGGCAACACACAAAACCTCTTTGCCTTGGATCCATCCTCTTTATTTCAAATGGTGGGGAACTTGATGCTAACCAGTTGTAGAATGGAAGGAAAACTTGCTTATGTGTAATTTTAACTAGTTGAATAGTCATCTGTGCATTAATAAAAATAGATAATTAGCAATAATTTTATTTTATAGAGGAAGAGCAAGTACCTCAGCAGAAGAGAAATTCAGATAAAAATATCTGGATAAAGACTGCATCTGCCCTGACTTAGTGTAATCAACATTATAATGACCTTTGCATAAATAAAGTGTAGAAGGAGTGCTCCAGATCCTTGGGAGAGTTTGGGGTAAAAAGATAATAGAAGAAATTCAAAATAGTCAAAGTCTAAAACTGGAAGAAAATATGCAATGTCAACTCATAACTAAGAAATCAAGATATGGCACACCAATGAGCAAGGAACTGATTGCTAACTCAGCATGCTCATGTGAATTCCATCAAATTGCTACATTAAGTGAACAAAACTAACAACAGAGATTCAGGATCATTTCATGAGGACTACTTACAGCAAGAACTACTTACTTACTTGAGAACTAGTGATTAACTTAAGGTAAAAATTGTGAAGGCTTTTCAAGAAGCATTCCATGCCTAAATGACAAAATATTGGATCATTATCCACTGGTAGGGGTACCACAAAATGTTTTTAAGTAAATATGTGTGGGGATAAAAGCCAAATCTATGACTTTAATGACAGAAGAAATCGAAAAACTACGTGCAGTGGGAAGAATCAAGTCATGTTCCTCATTGTTCAAAAAAATAAAAAAAATAAAAAAAATGGAAGAGACAAATGGTTAAAACAGTAGAATTTATCATTTCCCCATATACCTTGTGATAAATGGCTAGACACTCTAGTAATATGAAGTAAGTCCAGCTAATTTGGAGCAGAGAAAACTACAGTTGCAGCCAAAAATATTGGTGATCCTCAAGTTTTCCTCAAGGAATCTTGATTTGCCATGAAATAAGTTCATTTACAAAAGTAAATGACATCACCCATTCTTTATTCCATAGTCTATAGAGCAGAAACTTTGCTTTTAATGTATGACTTCACATATTATTGCACATAATAAAAGAAATGAAAATGATATGGTATATGGTGTTGAAAATAGAGATGCCAATATTATAATTCCTTTATATAAATCAATGGTGCGACTGTATCTGGAATATTGTGTGCAGTCCTGGTCTCTGTACCTCAAAATGGATATAGTAGAGCTACAGAAGATTCAGAGGAAAGCAATTAAAGTGATAAAGGGGTGGGGCAGCTTCTCTATGTGGAAAGGTTGTGACACTTGGGGCTTTTTAGTTTAGAAAGGAGATGAAAAAGACTGGACATTATTGAATTTTAACAATACTATGCATGGTATAAATAAAGTGGACAAGAAGTTATTTTCCCTTATCCAAAATACCAAACCAGACATTACCCAATATTATTGAGTACTGGAAGAATCAGGACAGAAAAATGATTTTTTTTACATAATATGTAATTAAACTTTGCAATTCACTATCATAAAATATGGTGCCGGCTGCCAGCTTGACTGACTTCCAAAAAGGTTGGACCAATTAATGGAAATAACGGGGGATCAATGGCTATTAGCTTGATAACAGTGTGATTGATTCTGAAAGCCATATCCTCTGACAGTAGTAGGCTTCTTTTACAATTGATTACCCATTGTGAGAACAGACGACTGGACTAGATGCACCAGGGGTCTAATTCAACAACTCACTGCTTATGTTCTCATATGAATTACATGTCAGGGAACTTTTGAGTCTGAAATCAGGAATTGATTTTCAGATCGTGCTCACCAAGAAGACCAAACAGCCTAGGAGGTCCTTATTATAGTAAAACAAAGGTGGGGCGCTTGGCTATATCACAGAATTTCCAGAAAGCCAGATTTATCACATGAAAGGCTTCATGCCCATCCAGTCACTGAGCTAACAGTGCTTAACTTTACTACTAATCTGATACAGGACATGGCAATTTCAGATAATATCTGGGAGTTTATCATGAAGGCAGAATAAAAAATCCCATGAATGCCTATCCATAATACCTCAATAAAAAGAGATTTCTTGGTGGTTACACAAGAAATATGTCAAACTGTTCACAGAACAGTCAGGATTTACTAACTCGGCCATCTATATCATCGGCACAAGGCAGACTATATTAAGAGCATCACTCAGGATTCCCATGACAAAATCAGGCCACTGAGAAGAGATGCAGGCAATAGAGTTAATTTGACTCTCTAAAAATGACTGGGCTTCCCAAGTTATCCTAATATCCAAGTGTAGAGAAGAAGTCAATTTCTGTAAGGACTATAGGAGTTAAATAAAAAACTCAAATCAGATTACTTCTTTGTGGTTCACATCAAAGGCCTGCTGGTACAGCCAGGGACAACTAAGTGCATTTCTTTTCTGGACTTGATGAGCAGGTACCCTTGGCAAAAAGAGATAATGGTTTTGTTTCCATTTAAATTCCAAAGATTGGACATTCCAAAAACTGGAAATAAGATGCTCACAGGTTTAAATTATTTTGCCATTGCACATTTAACATTTTCAGCCAACTGGGACAGCACCTTGAACATTAGAAGTAGTGTTAAGATCAGATTTCTGAACTTGCTATCAAGAAAAGTAATTCCAAACTGGTCTAAACCAAATAGTCTTGCTGGAAGAATGAAAAAACTATGGGATCAGATAATCTTTGGAAGCTGAAGCACAGACAATCCATGACTGGTCTGTACGTATAAAGAAAATCATGTACTGTGCAATCTTTCCTGGGGCTAGCTAATTACTATCAAGTGTTCAAGTGCTCAAATACAGGGAAATTTTAACAGTGTTATATTCAGGATCTTCAAGGAATGGATATTTCACAACCAAATCTAGTGTGGTCTGACAAATTACAGTTAGCATTTGAGCAGCATTAAATAGTAGATATCCTTCATTAACTTCAATTTTGGTCAAAGCAATTGTGTTAACAACTGATGCCTCAGAGTGAGTCACCACCTGAAGTTAGTACAGAGCAAGCTCCTCATTTGGTGGAATTTCTGAATATGAAACTACCCAAACTACCAAACTACTCATTGGACTGTGTTGGAGAAAGAACGTATATGCCCTTGAGAACTACATCACTATATGTAGGGTTAGGTTCACATGTTATTTTGAACTCAGAATTGACCCTGCAGCACTGAAATGGCTACAGGAAATTCAACAATGTGTATATTATAGTTTCATCCTGCTGGTGTACAGTTTTAAAATTGAGTATATGAAATGGAAGAAAACATAGTAGCAGAAATATTTAAGGAGGAGAAGTACTCATATGGAAGAGTAGAGGATGATATCTAGTAATGGAGGATACTGTTTATTGATATAGTGACAGGTCCAAGCCCAAGGACAATATAGCAAAATCTTGACAGCAGAGCAACTTTTCCAGGGAAGAGACAGTACATTCCAGAGAGAAACTTAAATTAAGAGACTGTGTAGTTCTGAGCTGGATTAGGCAGGGAGGGAAGAATCTCTCAGGATATATCTATTAGGGTACTGGGTTCTATCTAGAATCTCTCAGGATATATCCAGGGTACTGGGTTATAGTTTTAGTCTGGCAAAATTCTGTCCATTAGGTGTAAGCAAACAAAATATTGGAAATCAATCGGATTTTACTATTTCGTCTTTGGGTTTGGTCTGTATAAAAGTAGACAATATCCCTCCATTAGTAGATTCTCCTTTCCTACTCTTCTATACGAGTACTTGTCTTCCTTTAATCTTTCTGCCACTATCCATTGAATACATGGATAATGGTTACCTGAACTACTTCCTTTTTACTTGTGGCAAAAGAAAAAAAAATGGATTCCTTCTGAACACAGGCAGAAACTATAAACGAATGCTGAAAAAAAAACCCCTAGGGCTGTGTTTAATTTCTTTAGAAGCTTCTGAATTAACTTACTGGAATCCTCAGGGAAGCAAGAGGTCCAGAATTAAGAAAGAGAAAATATCTGTTTGCAAAAATTGCTACTCTAAATGTTTGACTAGGAATGCTGCTTTTAAGATATCATCTTTGGGTTTTTTTAACTAACCTTTTATACCTCTGTATAAGCTCAGTAATTGTATGTTTATTTCAGTCTTTTATGCATAGTCTCAGGTTATATATAAAGACATAACTTTCCTTTAGAATCCTTTTAAATTCATAATAATTGTTTTGAAACTTCCTTCAGTATCTTTCTATAATTCCTGCAGAATGCTAATTTGTGTTGTAGAAGGGAAAACTCTTGTGGCCCGAGAAGAGCACTGTACCTTCTTCTATTAAATTTTCTTCTGTGCAGTTCTGGAGAGGGAGGAACAATTGTTGTTGTTGTTCAATCACTTCCCTGTCCTCCCGTCTCCTGGAGTTTGTCCAGATTCATGTTCATTGCTTCAATTACACTATTTAACTATCTCATCCTCCGGCTGTTCCCTTCACCTTTGCCTTCAATCTTTCCCAACATCAGGGTCTTTTCCAATGAGTCCTCTTGTCTCATCTAATTTTTCATTTAAAACTTTTAAGTTGGCAAATATTTTTTGCAAAAATGTTCAAGAAGGCTCTAATGTTAAAAACATCTGAATCCCATCTCTCCTTTATATATTTTTTTTGGGGGGGGCATTGTAGAGAATATATAATAGTCAAAGTACTTAATTTACTGTTGATTTGATTTTAATATAATATAGATCTCTCTTATAGCCAAGCTCCTCATCCTAGTGTAAACATTTTTTTTTCAAGGACAGAGAAAATGGATATTCCATAGCAAAGTTACCACAGAAGCAGCTGGGATAATTCTCACGAGAGAGAGAGAGAAAAAAAGAGAAAAATTCTGTCTTTTTAAAAATAGAACTCAGCACTCAGCCAGGGTATTAACAATTAAACTTCAAAAACAGAGTCATGTCTAAAAATATAAGCAGCAACTAGAAAAGATGGAGACCCAACCCTCTGGCTGTACTGAGAATCGCAATCCTCTAAGGCAAGTACTGGTAAGTACATGGTCATCCGATGGTCATTATGGGTCATTCCTAATTGCTCCCATTTAAATCTGGGGAGCATGCTGCCAAAGAACCAGTTTTGGCAGCAAAGTCAGCTGTCTGTCAGCAGGGAGGAAAAAAAAGCCCCACTGCCTTATATATTCTTGCCACCTCTTCTTAATCTCTTCTGCTTCTTTTAGGTCTCTACCATTTTTGTCTTTTACCATGCCCATCTTTGCACGAAACATTCCCTTGATAATCTCCAATGTTATCTTTCTTGTCTCCAATCTTTCTAGTCTTTCCCATTCTATTGTTTTCCTCTACAGGTAATCCTTGAGTTACAACAGTTCACTTAGCGACCGTTTGAAGTTATGGCATAACACCCCCTCCTCCAAGTGCTTACAACACAATCCTGAAGTTACAAATGTTGCAGCATCATGGCAATTGTTCACCCTTACGAATGACCATGGAAGCACTGCAGCATTCGCCCTGCCTATTCCCTGTGGATGGCCTGGCCTGTGGATGCTCATCTTGCAAAGATCTAGTGAGCCCTCGGTTTCTTGGCCTGCTTTGGTGCCTCAGGTCTTTGGTGTGTTCGCAGAGAATGGAGGGCTAAAGTACTGCAAGATCATGCGAGATCAGTAGTGCAGGATCTTGCACTAATGATCTCATGTGATTTCACAGTACTTTAGGCCTCTGTTCTCTGCAAACGGAGGCTTGGATGAGATCTGCAGCAAAAAGCTTTGCAAAAGGAGGGAAGGCCTGAAACACCAAAACCTTCCCTTCATTTGTAAAGCCTTCTGCCATCTTTGCAAAAAGCTTTTGCTGCCAAGAATGGAGGCCAGCTGGGCAGAAACAATCGAGATGGGACCTGGCTATCTGACGGACTGGCTATCATGCAGGTCTTTATAGTTAATAAACTGCATCTTGAATTTTACCTGAAAGCCAGCTGGTAAACAGTGAAGCAATGAAGTTATATGGGCATAACATGCTGCTCCCATCATTGCCTGCACTGCTGCATTCTGGACTAGCTGTAGCTTCTATATCATCATCAAAGGCAGCTCTACTAGACCTCATTACATTAATCCAGGGAGCAGGTAAGCATAACATGATTTACTGATTGAAGAGCTTTTTAGCCCAGGGGAGGATGTGCAAAAGATATATATACAGAAATTAAAAAAAATATTCTATTCCCCAACAATAAGTAACATAAATCCTATGAGTCCCTTTCCTGATACCTCTGGTTCCCCCTCTCATCTTTGAATAATAAAGGGATTTTTTTCTAATTAAATAGAATTCCTCAATGGCAGAACTTCAAATGTACTGGAAAAGTTCTTAAAAATTCAGTGCGATATTCAGAGATGGAGTTGCCTTGACAGTAACTGACTGCATAGCACAGTTAAACATCAGGAGCTGACTACAGGAAATATTTTATGACATTTTGTTATGTCATAGAATACCTTATGATAATTTTTATGTCATAAATTGTTCTATAAAATTTGCCAAATTTCAGTTCCATAGTGTCATGTATCCCAGGTTTTGGATGCATTCTGTAAGTTATCCATGGGTACCTGGGTTAAAAAGGGTTTGCCCTACAGTGAACTATTTTGTCCAGTTACAAACCTGAGAGTTTTCGTACTGTATAGATTGGACTGACTTGGTTAGAGAAAACCAAATTGAAGTTTAAATGTCTCGTGTAAGTGAAGGTAGAGAGGAACAATTTTCTCAGCATGCCTTCTGATAAATAATTTTTTTTGTGATTGGATATGTTTGTCATAGCAGCCATTTTCAGCAACCTCTTCCATGATAATCACTTTATAATAACATCCTAACATTTTTCAAAATTTCAGATATGTCCTTTTTTTAAAAAAATAATTATAATTATTCTAGGACACACTATCAATTCTCAAACACTGTTTGTTTATGGCCCCTCTATGAGCCTCATTTACCTCTCTAATCCCCATCATAGTCACACCTGGAAAAAAGCTACTTTACCATCTGCACTGTATCTTAGTCATATTGTATTGTACTATACAATATATCTTTATATTATAAAGATGAAGTATGCAGTAGCTAACGAAAACAACTCTATGCAACCATAATTGTGTAATAGCAAACAACATTCTTAAACACATAAAATGACTAACAACAACATAAGGTTACCTAGAAATACAGTATGACCCACTGGGAGCCCTTATTGTCCATATCTACTCTAGATTAGAATAGGAGTTCCCAACCCCCGGTCCGCGGACCGGCACCAGTCCATGGCATGCCAGAAACGGCTGCATAAACAAGCAAAGCCTTATCTGTGGGATGCAGGCAGCCCACAAAACTAGTCTCCCTTTGGTCCACAGAAAAACCTCTCTCCAAAGAACTGGTCCCTGGTGCTGAAATAGTTGAGAGCCACTGCTCTAGAACACTGAAAACATATATTGCTAAAGAAAATTAAAGGTTCTATCTAGAATCTATGAATGCATAAATAAAATTAAGAGAGCATAAACTCACAATATCCTGGTGTTATTTTGTAAAACAGACAAAAAAAAAAACCTTCCATGTTAGTATATCACAAAATTTAGTTATGAAATTAAAGGATTCAATTCCTCACCTGTTTAGTTAAACTTAATATAATATCTTTCATTGAATTAATATAATACAAATGTACTTACACAATTTGTTACTAAATGTAGTTTATCTATCTACTTAGATGGTTTTAAAAGAGAACAGTCTCACATGAACTTGTCTATTACTGCAATAATTCATGATTATTTAATGAAACTCCTATGTTTAAAAATAATGTGCTTTTGAATAATGCTTGCTAGGAGGCAAACATGGCAGTGCTATTGGCTTCATCTCTTATAATTTTCTGCAAACTACAACTAGAAAAAGAAAACTGGAGTTAATCAAATCTAGATCAGATCCTAGCCTCTTATCCTCCTAATTTAAAAGTGCTTCACTTTGCCCTGATTAAGTTCTTTTGTTAGCTGGAGATTTAGATGTTTAATTGATAATGATGAATATAATAGTAGTACAATTTAATTATAAACTTTTGAGACAACTTGTCACAAATATTTAAAATAACTGAGAGCTAAAATTAAAATACTATCTTTTGCCTTTTTAAACATTACGAGTTATAGTTTCTTTCCTCAACATGTACTAACCTTCTTAAAAAGAATACCATATTGGCTTATTTAGCAACGGTTCAGAGTTATAATGATGATGAAAAAGTAACTCTGCAACCAATTGTCCTATTTACTATCTTTGTAGGTTCTTAAAGCAAAGGAAAGCTGAAGTAGGATCATAAGCATAGCTGCAGTTTTACTTAACAACTGAGTTGCTGGTCTCAGTTGTGGTCTCTAAACAATGACTACCTATAAAGCTTTTTCAGACTGATTATCTTAATCCGTGCTGCTTATAGTATTAGCTATCAGACAACTGTTAATTATTATTCATTTTTTCCCAGCACAAAATTAAAATAAGAACACATACCTGGCTACGGCTTCACTGTACACAAAACCAGCATCTGCTCTCTTTACAATTTCAAAGCAGAGATCTGCACCATCCATACTGCATACAAAAAGTATTGAAAAAGTATTTATGAAACATGAAACTGACTTTCAAAGTAATGTTAATATTCAGAAATGTACATTGTTAGAAGACAAGAAAAACATACAGACTTTATAGTGCAATCACTGACCAGTAATTTCATCTCGAAACACTACAATTTTGGAGAAACGGTCTCAAATAGGAAAAGTTACTGGCATTTCTAAATTCTTAAATGCAAAATTTCTGAAAAGTTTGGCTTTTCTCTTCTCAGAACCCCCGTCCCAAATGAATGGACATTGGAAATCGATTATTAACTTCCGTATGTATTCTCCCGTATTAAAGGTGGGGTAAGTGTAAAGTAATATTTGGACTAGGAAGATATATATCACTGCATGATAGTGCACTATTTTGGTACTACTTCACATGATTGTAGTGAGATAAAAAGCCCTGAGTTCTTGGAATAATGATGGTTTATTGATTTAGAAGAGATATGATGGAACTGTTAGCCCTCTCATCCAAATTTATGTACAGAAACAGAATGAACATGTAATTGAATAACATCAAGAAGAACAGGTTAGGGTTCTGCCATTTACTGTTTCCAAAATCACCTGGAAGGCTGCGATCATTGCTCTCAGTTTGTGCCACCTGAGATAACTGCTTCATTTAGTCAATGACAAAGCTGTTTGAACTTAATAAATTGTAGTATTGGTAAAATATGATGCAAAATAAAAGATCCACAGTAATAGGTAATATTACCTACAAGATTATCTTGGTAATTACAGAGACATACAATTAGTCCTTGATTGACAACATTTATTTGGGCTTGGCACTGCAGGTGCTCAAGGGTCAGGCTGGGCGTTTGACCTCTGCTGTCCAGGGCTCCGGGCAGCCCGCACCACCATCCAGCCCCCCTGTATGGCCTGAGAGGAACAGTGAGGCTCCTCCAGTGGATCATGCTTTGGCACATGCCCTGGTCTCATCCCCTTCTGCCAGAGACCCTCAGATCTATCCCACCCTGCCCAGGCCCCCACAGGCCTCCTTGATGCGAACGATGTAGAGCTGGCCATGCCCACCCAGTAGGCCACACCCACTCCATCCACGGCCACCCAGTAGACTGCACCCACCCCGGCCACACCCACCCGGCCCACCGAGGGCAACTGCAATGCTGATGTGACCTTCAAGGAAATTGAGTTTGACACCCCTGCATTAAATGAATATAGATTAAATTTAGATTAAATACACAAGTGACAGATTATAATGCAAAAATAATAGGCTGACATAGTTTTATCACATAGAAAATTATATAAAAAAGAATGAATGGATCAAGAGGAAGGGGAAGACTGAGATGCGTGAATGAATGATACAAATGATATCCTCAAAGAAAAAGGTAAGTAGATTAAAAGACAAAAGGCAGTCTATGAAGTGGTGTGTGTTATGGTTTGCAAGGAGAGATAGTGATGTATAGCAAATGTTAGTATAACCTATTTTTAACTACAGATTGGTTTCAATTAGTGAGGTTAACAAATCCCATGAAATAATTATATTATTTGAATTCACACTTTTCAAAGTGATCTTTCTAGCGAAAATATGAAAATTGGTTCCAGCTTAAGGTAACTTTTAGACACAAATTTAATAGTATATTAATGAAATATTACAGAAATGAATAAAAAATATACTTATACTTTAATTTTATGGTTAACAAAGTCATAGCAATTATAGAAAGCAAAGTAAAAACAAAAAAAATCTAAATATCGTTCCTAAAGATAAGCGTACAGTGACAAAAAACACCTTTATTGTCTCTCAAATATTTTAGCAGCATAGACCAAACTGTTTTCTCTTTCTTTAAAACTTCATACAAATACCGGTAGATGCAAAGTGATATATTTACATTTCTGCAAATTTGTATGCTTTGATCAACCTTAGTATCCATGTTTTTGTTTTCTCAAAAGATATCTTCAAATTCCTTGAGAATGAATTCACTTGCACATTATTTTCTTTTAACAATATCTTACTTTCCTTATGGACTAGCCTTAATTGCCTATGCATTAACCTCACATAAACTGAAATCTGGATTGCATTAAACATGACCTTGCTACCTGTATTCCTTTTCCTTATGTCATATTTTCAGGTTTTTTTTAGTTTTCTTCTGCATATTCTGCACTCGTTCTGAAAATCTTTGAAAACCTAGCTTTGATCCCCAACCTAGGCTTGGGATGATTATCAAGCCTCTATTGTTTTTCTGCTCAGTGGGTTAGTTTTTTTCTGGATGTTCATTCTCTCCTTGTCTTTATTTGTTCTTACTTTTAAAATGTAAGCTGGGATTTGGGTTGCTGGATTGGAATGGGATAGAATAAGATAAGATAAGGCAAGAAAACACAATATAAAAGTTTATCTTTCTCTTAGTATAGTATTCAATACTAATTTAAAGAACATTATTCACTTCCTTAACTGATCACATTATTCTCCTCTGGCCAGACATAACAATAGTTACTGTACAATTTGAACAGAATATGCAAGTAACCATTACACATAATACACATACTTATTTATGCACACATGTACAAATTGCAATGTGAAAAACCATACTTGGCATTCTAGAAGAACTGAAAATCTCAACACAAATATGAGGAATTTAAAACTTACAATTCAAAAACCATATATAGCATTCCATCAGAACTGTAGGTCTCCAAAAGTTCAACAATGTGAGGATGTTTCAGCATGTGACAGATACTTGCTTCCCTCTTCAGATCTGTTTGAAGACAATAATTTCTGTATCATTAAATATTATAACAAAGTAACAAGAATGATATATTCCTAATTAAATTCTTATAATTAAATATTTCCTGTAACATTGGTTTTAAATGTTTACGAAAGCTTTGACAATTGAATATTAACTATATAGCTATTTTATGGCAACTCAATACATAATACACAATGGCATAATATAAATGTTATCTAGCACATGCATAAGAAATTAAGAAGGTAAATGAGATTACTGTCTAGCACATAGACCTGGCTAAGAAAAAGTGTCATTAGCATTCTTCAGTGAGTTCCCAATTTTTTCCAATTTTTTGAACCTCGTAGAACCTCGTAACACAGAGATAGGCAACCTTGGCTCTTTTATGACTCGTGGACTTCAACTCCCAGAATTCCTGAGCCAGCATGGCTCCGTTTGGAAACCTCTCCCTTTCCCCTCAGCATGGCTGGATCAGGAATTCTGGGAGTTGAAGTCCATGAGTCATAAAAGAGCCAAGGTTGCCTACCCCTGCCCTAACAGAATAAGAGGTTTTCCGGTTTTGTTTTTCAGTGCATCAGTTATTTTAACTATCTATTCAACATATATATCTACATCTAAATGGCTGTTGTTTTACAGCGTAAGATAGTCCTCAAATTACAATCATTTGTAAAATGAGTTATGATGGTCCTCACTCTTATGACTGTCATAGCATCTACATGGTCACACAATAAAAATTTGGGTGCTTGGCAACTGGCATGTATTTATGATGGTTGCAGCATCCTGGGATCATGTGATCACTATCTGTGACCTTCCCAGCCAGCTTCTGACAAGCAAAATCAATGCAGGAAACTAGAGTTACTTAACAAAAGTGGCAAAAAATGCTTGTACAATTAACTGCCTTGCTTAGCAACAGAAATTCTGGTCCCAAGTTTGGTCATAAATTGAGACTACCTGTACATATTTATATAGATACATGTAGGATTATTGGAATATCATGGATTTAAATACTCAGTCATAATACATTTTTAAGTAATCAATTTGATACAGATGGAAAAAAATCTACCTAAATCGATGGAAAGGACAAATTCATTATTATATCTATGTAAAACTGTCATACAGTGATACAATGTTATATATTTTTCAACAGTAGCAACGTGGTGGCTTCTTTGCTTTGTGGTTTTCAAATACTTGGGAATATTTTATTGTACTCCACCACGATCAACATCAGCCACAGCACCGGTGCATGCTCTGTAGAAGTCCAACCTCGTATCAATTCAGGATCTTTGGGAGAAGATACAGGCAATCCTCCACTTATGAGCATTTGTTTAACATCAATTTGAAGTTATGACAGCAGTGAACAAAGTGATCCCAAAGTTACAACCATTGCACCACCCTCATGGTCACGTGATAGTGATCTTAGCACTTAGCAACTGGTTCACATTTATGATGGTTGCAGCATCCTGCAATCAGATGATCACAATTTGTGAACTTCTTAGCCTATTTCTGACAAAGTCAGTGGAGAATCTAGATGTGCTTAACCGCATGATCCACTTAATGACCATGTGAATTAGTTAATGTCCCTGCAAAAAAGTAGTAAAATTGGATGTAAGATGCCTTAATAACTGTACCACTTAATAATGAATTTCCCAGTCCCAATTATTATCAGAAGTTGAGGACTATCTATAAACTATATGTGATCCAGCACAAATATATGTAGTCCCTGACAGAGTAGCACATTATTCACATTAATCAACCTATTCTACTCACTGGACAAATAGCACATTTCTTAGGAAACTGAGATGCATAATGCTTATCCTGAACCTGACTGCTTAACTCATAATTTTTGTATTTCCCTCTCCCTTTTCCCCACACCACAAAATTTCCTTTTTTGCAGGTGGGACAGATTGCTTTAACAAGTTATCTCTTCCTAAACTGCTTTTCTTTTCCCTGATTAGTTAATTAGTATCCTTGCTGCTTGCACTGCTATCTGAAATTGCCACGATTCTAATCAATTTCATCCCAAAAGCTTCCTTTTGTATTCTAAGCAGCCAGGATCACCATGCCATTTCTTTCAATGCACATTCTCCATTGTTTGCTCGCTTATTCTTTTGTAATCTCTTTCTTTCCAATGAGTATAAATATAAACATTGTTTCCCCTTGGTAATTATCCCAGAACCAAGGTGAGGATTCCAAAGGGTGGGGAGAGTGGGGAAAAAGATTTGTATGATTGACATCTTTTTCCCAGCTTCCTCATGAGTCGAGTACCAGAACATGAAATTTCCCTGCCATTAGGGCTCACCTAGCTGACTTGGGTCGTATCCTGCTGATACTGTAAATATTTAGGGCAACTTATTAATTAAGCTTTTTAAAGCTTTATTAAAGTCCTAGAGTTTCTGTTGGTGTTCTCCTTCTTTGGCATCTATCCTGCAAATTCTAAATTAAATGTTGACATGCAGATTAACACAAACAATATTACGTCCAGGATTCCTGTTTCAGGAATGGTAAATGATGCCACTGACTACTGAAATCTTTCAATAGTCTACAGTATTTACATTTTAATCTGTTAAACCAAAAAGGATTTAATATACCAAGTAAACCCCTATTCAAACTAATTTGTTTCAGAAAAAGCAATAGATAATCATCTCAATTAATAGGAATAGCATTTCAGAATTCTGTGATGGGTGGAAAGAAAGCAAGACCCTAAGTTACAGGGAGATTGAATTCACTCCAATGAACTTTCTTGAATGACCTCAATTACCAAATACAATGGCTCAATGCGCAGTTCCAGCACTCTGTGATCATGCTACTCAAATTTGGTGGAAGAATAGTATTTTTTTCTTTCTTTCTTTGCAAAAGGTGGGAATGGAAGCAGCAAACTCATGGAAGGCAAAAACTCTTAAATTCACCCAAAAAAGAAAAAAAAAAAAAGATTCTCCAACTCATGTCACTAATATCGGACTATTTGGTATTGAATAATGGTGGCAATTTCGCTGTTTGTCATTTGTTTGGCACATCTTAACGACAGAAATCCCTGTGACTTTTCTCATACTCACTGTTCAACACAAAGAATAGTTTGAATAAAAAATCCCTTTCCTGTGATTTTACTGTAGCTTTCTGAAGGTTGGGAGATTAGTGACTATAAGGGGGAGACCGCCAATACTTTAGATCATGGGTCCCCAACCCCCAGTCCATGGACCGGTACCAGGCCGTGACATGCCACACTCTGGGCCACGCAAACAAGTGAAGCCCCATCTGTGGGACAAAGGCAGCATGCGAAACATGTCCCTTCTAGTCCACAGAAAAACCTTTCTCCAAGGAACCAGTCCCTGGTGCCCAAAAGGTTGGGGGCCTCTGCTTTAGATGGGGCTTGAAAAGATAAAAATAGATGCTGATTCAAAATTTAGACAAATGTAGAGTAGTAGAATCAACTTCACAAGTTTCCTTAGGCATGAAGACAGAAAAGAAGCTTGTTTGCTTGATGCACTTCTCCTGAACTTGCCTTATGGCAAATATCACGACTGCTATACTCCTTTCTGGCCCAAAGCCATAATGTACCTTTGGCAGACTCCTTTCTGAGACAAGTCTGTTCAGAAGAATAAAGAGAAAGATCTTGTCTGCAAAGGATAGCACTGAGGTACCTCTATATTTTTTACAGTCTGATTTGCTTCCCTTATTTTTATAGAGAGCCACAGTGAGGGCATACAGAAGTCATCAGGAATATTCTTTATACATCAAATGAGGGAGGCAGGTCTATGGCATCCAAGATTGGCTGTTGAGGAATCTACTATTAAGAAATTATGACAATTCTGGATAATTTATTGAACAGGTAAGAAAAGTAGATGGCCCAGTGGTTTTTTAGTCCTTCCTGGTCTTTCATCAATCTTGGCCCATTAGATTACAGCAAGGGGGAGCATCCTGATTTAGAAGAACCATAAACTGGCTTAATGGGCTAAAGAACTCTTGGCTGGCTGGCTGGCTGGGGAATTTTGATAGTTGAAGTCCACACAACTTAAGAGTTGCCCTGATTGAGGAACACTGCTCTAGTGATATCCATGTTTGGATAGCATTCTGCCTGCTCAGTCTTCCTCTACCATCACTTATCCTGCATTTCTCACAGTTCCATTTGTGCTTAGGACAGCAGGTGCTTAAACTTGTCTGTGTTTGAAACAGATATAGGTCATTCTGCTGTTGGCACAGACCTTCTTCTTGACTTGGAGGGTAGCTAAAATGATCTCCTGGTTTTCATCCAAGTCTTGATATCTGGATTCTGAATCCAAGTACAGTTGTTGCAGTCTTATGATGACATCTTTAAACTGCATCCACTTTTCAGAACTGTTTCCTCCAGAAAGTTTTTCATTAAATAAATCTTAGAAGCATTGGACTTTGTCTGAGTCTTGTATTCTGCTGATGTTGAATGACTTTGATACTTAACAGGAAAAAAAAGTTGTTACCACACAGACATATATCATATACAGGAAAGCAAAGAGGCATGAAAACTAAAACACTCTATGTTGTATCTTTGCAGACATAACCAAGATAGAAAACTGCCCAAGGACAGAGCCCTTTGAAAGATCTAACCCAGTGACAGGAAGCCCTCAACCAGAAGGTTATGATAGTTGTGTTCTTCTGATGTTCATCCTTAACAAGTATCATTCAGTAGTATATGATCTCTGTATTTAAAGATTTCATATACAGTAGTTAGCAACAGTAGCAGTTACTGTTAGTCTCAATTGCTCCAATAATCATTTATAATTACAGGTAGAGTCCTTGAATTACAAATGTAATGGAGCCTGCTCATTTCATTCGTAACTTGAAAATTTGTGGGAGTGAATCTCGTACCTTGAACGCGATTCACTCCACTTTCGTCCATGCATTTGCTAATTGTTTCCGGGCGGCAGCAGCCTGGAAAAGGCCTCCGACGCCCGGATTGGGCCTCTGGAGGCACATGGAAGTATCCCCTGGTCTCAGATCTGGGTGGCAGCAGCCTGGAAAATGCCTCCGACGCCTGGATCCAGCCTCTGGAGGCAAGTGGAAATGTCCCCCAGCTTTGGTTCTGTTCTCTGTTGCAGAGAACAGAGGCCTAAAGTATCATAAGATCACACAAGATCAGTAGCATGAGATCTCGCGCCACAGATCTTATGTGATCTTTTGTTACTTTAGGCCTCCATTCTTTGAACGCACCCAAGGCCTCGAGCAGCCAAGAAAGTGAAGGATCTCGATCTTCGCAGGGTGAGTATTGAAGGCCTAGTGCCTAGGGACACCCGGGGTGGGAGGGAATAACCAGGGTGAATGTTGCAGTTCCGCCGTGGTCGTCCGTAAGGGTGAACAACTGCCGTGGTGCGGCAACATTCATAATGTCGGGATTTGCTCATAAGCACTGGGGGCGCTTATTGCGTAACTTCGCTAAGGGAATGTTCGCAACTCGGAGATTATCTGTATCTACACTAGACTTTACTGTATATTTTGGTAAAATGATTTTGTTCCCAGGTTTAAGTTGTTACATGAAAGATAAAGTATATTATATTCACTTTCTTCATACCATGCATTAACTTTCTAAGTAGTATATGATATATAAGCATGTCTTTCTAAATTGTACTTAGAAAAACCTGCAGGTTCTCCTCTCATACAAAAGGCAGTCTTACCCCTTGGTATTTTTGGAGATCCTTTTTGAGTTAGGGCATAATTGAAAAAAAATCCCAATTTTCTCTAATAAAACAACAAAAAATCCTGACAATATTTTTTTTTAAAAAAACATTTAATAAAATATGTAAATAAAAAGTTAAAATAATGAATCTATTAAGACAAGTGCACATTCATTCCAATCCTTTGTTTCTCCAAACTGTTCTATCAACAGAGCATTCCAGTTTGGATAGAAAATTGATTCTCATGTAAAAGAGTAAAGATTTGTCTTAATACTAGCAAATTTCAGTTTTTTTTTAATCAAAAGACTTTCAAGAAGATTTTTTAAAAAGTTCATTCTCAGAATAAGACTACTGAATGTAGTGATAAGTTAAAATAAGACTGAATAGGCAATGAGCCTTTTTGATTTCTCTTGTTTTTCTTACTTCTCTTGCTACAATATGAACTATTCAGGAGACAAAGCCAGAATATATAACTGTTTTACTATGTTCATGATTTAGTCTTTCTTCACCTTTTTTCTGATGATTGTCAGACCTAAGAAATTCCAGGTTTCTTAAGGTCTTCAGCTTATATTTTTTATAGTAAAATTTAAATTATTTCTATTATATTATTATTCAAAGTTATTTTTAGTTAATAAGCAAAACTATTATATAATTATACTTTACATGCAATAAGTATATCAAACAATCATTTAGAGCAGTGGTTCTCAACCTGCGGGTCAGGACCCCATTTGGGGTCGAACGACCATTTCACGGGGGTCGCCAAACAACGCAGTCCGCCATTTTTTCCCCTTTTCCTTAGCTGTGCTACTCCCTTTTATTCTATTGGCTTTTGAAAGCCAATAGAATAGACTCTCTTGAATAGAGTCTAATTCTATTGGCTTTCAAAAGCCAATAGGAATTGTCCAGGCTGTCTCTGCCCTGCTGAGCCCACCAAAAGTCCCATTCTGCAAACAGTGCTGCACCAGTTGAGTAGTCCTCGACTTACAACCGGTTGGGGGGGGGGTCGCGGCATTAAAAAGGTTGAGAACCACTGATTTAGAGACTAAGCATATTATACAGGTAGTCCCTGAGGTACGAACCTAATGGAGCCTGGCCATTAGGCTCATATGTCAAAAATCAGACTTAATTTTACAAATTTTTAAAATCAAATTAATTAATTAAATCAAATGGGTTGTTAAATGAATGAATATCTGACTTACTATTTCCTCAGATAGCTGCCATGCTAACTGAACTGGGAGGGTTTTCTGCCGGCTGCCGATCAGCTGTTTCCGGTGAGCTGGCTCAGGAATTAAATTGCCTCCAAGCAGGGCTTGCAAGCCATCAGTTATTTAAAAACAAAAAACAAAACTGCTGCTAGCCAGCTCAAGTGTCTTCAGCTATCCAGAGAGGGGTGGGGTTGGGGCTGCTACTTTAATAAAAACCACTAGCTTAAGAGCCAGCCAGGCAACCAGAGGGAGATGGGGGAAGGATCTGCAGAACTCTCAGCTTGCAATAGTAACAGAGATGAAACGGACTTTGAGGTCAGCTAGTCTAACCCACTGTTCTCACAAGAGTGTATATCTGATAAATGGCTATCCAGTCTCTTCTTAAAAGCTTCTAGTGATGGGGCACCCACAATTTCTGGAGGCAATTTAAATTTAAACCCTACAAACTACAGTAATATATGCTAATTTCCAAGATAAAAGCTGAATAGTTTGCAAACAAAATAATTTACAAAGTACAGTACTTAAAAAGCAGAGCAGTTCCCAAACTGCTTGCAAACAAATATTTTAAAATATTTTAAAATACTTAAAGAAGTAATTGTAGCACTCAAGGCCAGTCAGTAGCAGATTGCAGCAAAAGCAAAAATTGGTGCCAGCTTGGCTCTTGTTTGGCCCCTTCTGGCTTCTTGTAGCCCCGAACGGCCCCAGGCAAGTCACAGAGATAAAAATGGCCACCGCTGCAGTAGAGACTAAAATCAAGTCACATGGCTACAGAGGCCTCTTCTTGGTCGCAGTTTTGAATTTCTAATAAAAGTACCTTTTCTGAATTAACTCGTTTTTGTGAAAACTTACTAAATAAATGCTTGTACCTGGGGGTTTACCTGTACATAATTTTATGTACTCAATGTAGCAAAGAAAATCATTCTCAGTAAGCATTGTTATTCCAATTATGTTGTTCAAATTCTAAGAATCTACACAGTAGAAATTGCTTTTTATATAAAGTTGAAGGTTTTATTAACTATTCATCATGTTTTCTGACTTTTTGGGCCTAGTAAATTACAATTAGTAGAACTGTGGCTTCTAAGCAGAAATCTTATCTTAAGAATCCCGTATACTACCAGAAGAGAATGGTTTGACTGTCTAAATATAAATAGTTAAAATATAGTAGCTGTGATTTGTAGTTCTTTAAAATATAATATAATGATTATTAATTTTGTTGAGAAATAATAATATTCAATAGCTGTGTCATGACATAATTTAAAAACACAATTGTATCAACACTTCCCTCTGACCATGGCATACATAGAACTAAGTTAATCACTGGATTCCCCAAATGTTCCATTAGTAAGAGAATGCACACATATAAGCACACATATATTAAAAGTATTTTTTACATTTGATTTTTAAAGTGTAAACAAATGCCGAATATAGAACAGCAATAAACAAGATACAGGCTCTAACAATCTTTTTTTTTTTAAAACTAAATACTCAACATTTTATTGCAGCAAAAAAAGGCAGAGCTTAGAGCTTTAAATTAGTAGCACATCTATATATAATTATTTAGTAAAAATATTTTTCAATTTGCCTAGAACAGTTTACTCCTTTGATTTCTTTGTTAAATAATTGATTTGAGTGAAATAATATAGATCAGAGGTCCCCAACCTTTTGGGCACCAGGGACCGGTTCTGTGGAGAGACGTTTTTCCACAGACTGGAGGGTGAATGATTTTGTGTGCTGCCTGCATCCCGCAGATGGGGCTTTGCTTGTTTGTGCAGACTGGTTGGTGGCATGCTGCGGCCCGGTACTGGTCCACGGACCGGGGGTTGGTGACCCGATATAGATAATGGACTCAGGGTAACAGTATTAATCACTTTCATTTTCTTTAATTCGTCAATACTTGCAGAAAATAACTGTAATTGACGTACTTTTCAAACAGAGCATTTGTTTGGGGTAAAAAATCCCAATAAAATTTTGGGACATAATTGTCAGAAAGATAATAAAAGAGAATAAAACACTGTATGGTAACAACTGATTTTTTTACCTTCAGTACTTAAGCCTGGACTTGAAGTGAATTTTGCTACATCGACAATCTTGACAGCAAACTGTTGCCCAGTTTCTCTGTTGATACATCGCCGCACAACACTGAATGGACCCCTAGAAAGAACGACATTGCTTAATTAATTTAAACATTCAGAAATCTCTTTTTTCTTTACAACTTTATTATTTTTCATTTTTTATTTAATTTTCATTGAATTGGCATTTCAAGAGGTATAAATTGTTACAAAATAATTTTGTTTTGTTAAAACTTTTATTTAGAGAACTACAGCACTTATCAAATGTTCTTTGCTTTTAAAATAAATGAAAAACCCATATAGTTGGCATTTTAATCCTACACTGCTTTGTAATGTATCAGTAACACAAGTAAATTTAAATAAGAAAAAAATGACATAACACAAATCTATTTAACAATAAACTGGAATTTCATGAAAACAGTCATATGAGGAGGAATATAGATCAGTAGGATTAAAAGAGATTGCTGCAAATTATAAATGTGGAACATTCTGATAAGGGATTTTTTTTTTAAACAACTTCTAGTGGGGAAATGGTGGCTTGAGCAGCTCCTTCAGAACTGTAGATGAGGCAACAATTGAATTGGGGCCCAGGCAAGATCCCTGTAAATTGAAAAATTCTCCAGAATCAAAAGGAATCCCAGAAATTGATGTATTTGTCCTCCAGACAACTGTTCTTTGAAAGAAGATTGTGAAAGGGAGGTTTTTAAAATCAGCTGGTGAGTCAAATGGCTGGGAGGCAGGTTCTTACAGCAACTTCAAAGCTGTAGCACAACAGAAGAAAAAGCGGACAATATAATTGACACCCCATTTCTAAATCACTTTATTATAATTTATTATTCTTTCAGTTTAAGAGAGCCTTAGTCCAGATATAATTAATATTTCCTTTTGGAGATTTTCAGTATTTTTAGTACTATAATTTAATATTATTTTCACTATTATAAAAAAGCTGATATGGGTATTGGGAGTTGTTTGTCTAGCAAAAAGATGAAGGTTTGGATTATCAGCTGTTTTCTAAAGAAACAAAAAAAATATTTTATGGATGATTAAAATTTACTTTTTGGTGAATTTATATGTAAGGTACCAGATCTTGGAATTTTTAAATGTAGACTTTTGTGGGAACATTGTGTTTTTTTTTCCTATTGACCTTGTGCTGACTAGTGTGGATTTATAAATAAAAGTAGTGGGAGAAGTTTCCCTTGAACTTTCCCCCCCCTTTATTCTATTTTTAGTGAGGCTGTTAGCTGCCATTCATTTTCTGGACACTAGAGTGTGCTATTAACTATGGCTAGGAAAAGATCACAATTGTGTAGGTTTGAACAGCAGAATGTTTGCAAAAAACCTATATAGGAAAAAAAGGATGTAAAATATTTGAAATATAAGACTTTGGGTGTAGAATTTGTATTAACAGATTTGAAAAAGACTAATGGACTTGTTTTGTATATTAAACCACAACTGAAACCATATTTTTGTTGTCTTGCGAATTTTTGTTGTCATGCATATGTTGTATTAGAAGTAGAGATGCATGGAATGCATAATTCATAATTAAGCAAAAATCAAGAACAAGGGGGAATAATCTCAAACTAACAGAAGTTCAAAAATAATCTTAGAAAGTATTACGCCATAGAAGGAGTAGTGGAAGCTTTGAACCAACTGCCAGCAGAAGTAGTGAGTAAATAATCAGTAACTGAATTTAAACTTGCTTGGGATAAACACACGTCCATCGTGCGACAAAAAATTAAAAGTAAAAAAAAAGTAAATAAAAATAATTAATTAATTAAAAAGAAAATGAAAAGCAAATAAACTCAGAGACTTGATGAACCACTGGGTCAGTTTTCTATGCTTCTATTATTGTTGGAAGGAGTGTGATGGATGAGCAGCTAAAGACACTTGAACTGGAAAGCTGACAGCCCGGATTCACGACCCAAGCGCCGCCCAATGGCATGAGCTCCTGTTTCTGCCCCAGCTCCTGCCCACCTAGCAGTTCAAAAGCATGCAAGATGCAAATAGATTAATAGATACCATTTCGTAATTTTGGTTGCCTTTAGTCCATTACATAATACTTTAACTTTCACTTTTTTTCAGTCTTATTCTGGGTTTCTTCTTATGCCAAGTAGGTTTCCATAGCAAAGCTTCTCTTCCAGCTGATAAGTCTCTCTTTATTGCTTGTAGTGTCATTTGGATCAGTGAGAACCATCCTGACCTATGCATTGGTCCTCTGACTCCCTTAACCATAAAGTCTCGTTGCTTTAACATTTCAAGTCTCAGTCTTTGCTTCTGGTCCTCAGCACCATAAATGACTTACTTATAAGGCAAAATCAATTTTTCTTTATTTTCAGTCAAGTCCTCTTCTTGTGTAATCTGTTTTATAGAAGAATCAGGTGTAGTCTGAAAGTTAATTTTGAAGTTTGAAGGAGAGATTCTGGCTCTTAATTCTATAGTAAACTCTTTTATTGTAGCACATATTTCTTCTTTGGCCTCATAGATCTTTTCCAGAATAAGTTTACAATTTAAATGTGAGTGCAACTCCATTTTAAAAATTGTTCAGCTGCATCAAATTATCTTTCTCTTGAAGAACAGTTTAAAGGCCAAAACCATCTCCTCTCCAGATAGACAACAAATACAATATTAGCTTTTAACCAGTAGATGTCCTCAGTAAGCTAAAAAATCTTTTTCAAAAGTCATTTTTTCTTTTCCCTTTTTTCTATTTTTTCAGGAAAAAGTGGAGAAAGAAATACTAAAAAAAAAAAGCAGAACAGCATAGATTGATAGTAGAATGTTCTACCAAAGTTTCTTTTTTTGTTTCAGATGATACCTATTTTAAAAAAAGATATAAATTTGGAGGAATAGCAGAAGGGTATCAATAAATTTATTTGGGCTGGGAAGAAACCAAGGGTTAAGTTTAAGATTTTGCAAGATGCCCGAGAAAGAGGAGGACTTATAGCACCTAATTTGAAATTATATTATGATGCAGCCACCTTAACTTGGATAAGCGATTGGCTTAATTTAATGAATAAGGATATTCTTTCTCTTGAAGGGTGGGATTTAATGTATGGTTGGCATGCATACTTAATTTTTAATAAGAAAATTGATCGGGCTTTTAAATCACATATTTTGAGGAATGCTTTACTCCGAGTTTGGAAAAAGTATTATTATAGACTAAATTATAGAATACCTATTTGGGGGATTCCTGGACATGCAATTGAGGGAATCTCTAAGGGGATGAATTTTGATAAAATCTCTATAAAGAATTATTAAATTGGTCAGGTTCGGATTGGCATTTAAAATCCTTAGATATATTAAGGCAAGAAAATATTTTACAGTCATGGTTTCAATACTTACAAATAGTGGACAGGTGGACTGTAGATAAGAAAGAGGGAATAACACTAGAAGATGAAAATTTGGTAATTCAGATTAAAGATCAGAATCAGGCTCATATAAAAAGAATTTATAATGTTTTAACAGAATTAGATTCGGAAACAGAATTGGTTAAAGATTGTATGATTAAATGGGCTCAGAATATCCAGGAACCGATCCCATTGAACTTATGGGAGATAATTTGGATTAGAAATGTTAAATTTACACAAGCTCAAAATCTGAGGGAAAATTTTTATAAAATGTTTTATAGGTGGCATTTAGATCCTAAAAAATTATCTTGTATGTATTCTAATTTACAACCCAAATGTTGGAGATGTGGTAATATGGATGCAACTTATTTTCACGTTTGGTGGAATTGTAAAAAGGTAAAGGCTTTTTGGATTATGATTTGGTGGAACATTCAAAAGATCTTTAAAAGGAAGATAAAGTTTATTCCTCAATTATTTTTATTGGGTATTTTTGTGGATTTAGATGATTTTAATGTTGAATTTATTAACTGCAGCAAGGTTATTAGTAGGTTCATATTGGAAGAAAGATTTGTTGCCTACTTTAGAAGAATGGATATTTAAAGTTTCTAATTTAGCAGAAATGGCAAAAATTTCTGCTTATTTAAAGGATCATACACAAGAAAGATATATTATTGTATGGAGAAGATGGATAGATTATATTCAGAAGAAGTATGGGACTATAAAGTTTCATTTATTTTATGAGTAAATTTTATAGTCTTTGAAGTTTTGTTCTATTCTTTTGTTCGCCTTTCTTCCCAAATATAGAAGCTACCTTTCCAAGCCAGGGAAATAGTTCCAAGAGGGCTTTTACAGGCAAAAAGAAGCAAAAAGGCATAAAGAGAGGAGGGGAAAAAAAGATCTCATCCGGATTCACCACGGTGGGTTTTCAAGCTTAGCTGTTCTTTGACTTGTGGTTACTAGCAGCTAAGTGATCGGCCATTTTACTGGCCAATCTTCTTCTCTGTTGGTCCTCAGAGTCAGCCCGGACAGCTGGAGGAGCCACCGCTCCTCCGCAGCCAAGCGAAGCCTCTTCGACAGAAGTTGCACCCTCCAGGGCGACTTCAGACCCCATAAGGGTCTACCGGCGAAGGGAGGCTAGCTGACGAGGAGACAAGTTTCTTCGTGCGACTAGGAGCGCCGCAACCTGGAACCGGAAGTTTAAGGACTAAGATTATGAATTAGATGTAAGGGAAACGGGTGATTAATGGAAGATATACAAAGTTTATCTATATGAAAATTATTTAATAAGATGATTTATCTGGTTGATGCTCAATGAATTGAAATAATTTAAGGTTTGATGTTCTCTTATCAGCTTAAAGAGATTGATTGATGGATTAGATAGGTCTAGGATAGATCAATATTTTAGCTAAAAAAGGAGATATTTTTAGGAAATAGATTAAAGGTAATCTAGAATTATAGGTTGATTTCAGGATTAAGATTATTAGTTAGAAGTAAAAGAAAAAAGGGTGATTAATGGAATATATATTAACTGGATTAAGAGTGTGTTCTCTTTTTAGGATGATAGGGTTACTTGTAAGAAAATTATTATGTAATGTTGAGTTAATCTAATAAGATGATTTGATTGTTTGATAACACGGATCTTATTAGTTATGACAATTAACTGGATGTAATTTGAACTTTAATAGATTGAAATGTTTTAAGGTCTGATTTTTTCTGTCAGTTTAAAGAGATCAATTAA